CTCTTAATGCTTGTACATGGGTTCTCTTTGCTCTCAAACAGTGAATCCACTAAGCACCCATGGCTTTAATGTTTGTCTTCAGTAGGAGCTTCTACTCTTCCCACTTTTCCAGTGAATAAGGAGTGAAAAATGCAGCAGTTCGATTTAACATATAATATGGTGTTACTGTGGGCAGTTGCCCAAAGACCTGGTGTAGCAACTTGCTTCTATCCAGTGATCGTGTCTATTGAATGAGATGTTTCTGTTTGCTGTTTGGGTGAAGTCTCATTTACCATTCAAAATAAACCGTAACTTTACAGTAAATCAGGCTGCAGAGCTTCCTCACACAGGGACTTCACAGCGCTTGGTCTGGTGTGGAGAAGAGGGAAGTGACATGAAGGCAGGGTTAAGGGGCAGCACCAGTTCTTTCTGGCAGCCTGCAGTCACACTCGACCAGGTTAAATGTGATGCTGCAGCTTTATGAGGTGATTCTGTGGTGCTTAAACTGACCAATGCGAGATCTCTGCCCTCCTCCTGGCATTTGTTGAAGGCATGCTCCCTGACCCCTTCCCTGCGATGGCACTGGTGCTTGTAGGATTCCTTCCTGAGATAATCAAGGACCAATGAGAAATAACTTTTGGTGAGATTAATCTTTGTGTGGATCATTGGGCTCAGCTCCCTCACTCTCTGTGAGCCCCAATGGCGAGACAATGAGGTAGGCAGAGTATGACAGCCTGCATTTGTATTAATTTAAACTGCCATGGAAAAACAGCCTTTGCTTAAGCTAAGGGAAAGGCTGTGAGCACTCTCACAATTTGTGAGTTTTAGAAATGAGTGATTGGAATGAACTTCATGATTGTCTCTAATCAAAGATCTGCTCAATGGTAGCCACTAACAGCAATCCATCTAATAGGATTTTTATGGCTTATAAATTTCTTTGGCTTTTTCAATTCTATTGTTAGCAATCTCAACCACTTTAATAAAAGAATGAGATCCTTTCCAAAACATTAATGCTGTCCTACAGATTGAACAGAGATTAAATCCCTGTTATAGAAAGGATGTAATATTTTATTCAATTGATTCTAGGTTTATAAAGTCATTCATGTAATCTCACTTTATATTTGAACAGTCTTTTCAATAGGTGTGTGTGACAGATAGCAGGAAATTTCTTTTCCTACTCTATACTAATAGGTTGCAGCAGTGGGAGGTGAGAATATTTTGGTAAAGACTGTTTTGGTAAAGAGGTGACTTTCCAGGCTGAAATTTATCCCTTGTCTTAGTGAAAAAGAAAATGGTGTACCTATCCTACACATTTACACAATTTAATTTTTGTAAAATCAGAATGCTTTGCAAATATAACTGTGGATGTGAGCCTTCACAGGAGGTACTTCAACATAGGCTTCTTAATTTTAGCATTCCAGATATGAGGTCCTCTACTGACCATTATGTAATTATGAAATACACTGAGCTACACATCTGATGTGCTTACAAGCAGTTTGATTAATTGTATGGGCTATATTCAGTGAAATTTTAATTATGAAACCAAGGTTGAATATTTCAGTTGGAGGAATTAAAAGCTTATGATGCAGTTCAATTCTATAGCTATTGAAAAGTCGTAGAACCTAAAGAAGCTGAAGTGTCATCGTCAGTAAAGCAGGTATTTGGGAGATAAAACTGTCATGTGAGAAACATTATGTCCAAGAGTCTGTATTGTATTTGTTTGTTAAGCAGTATTTCTTTTCTGTGCATTGTTGTATACAACAGATTAGAAAATATGAACTTTTGAAGATAGTTTATCTAAAGAAACCTAATGCATGACATTGCCATAACTTCAGAATTAGTGCTATAAAATCTGTCATCAATAGATTCAACCAGCTGGCTGCTAGTTTAGGAGTAGTATGGAAGGTATTCAGATAGATCAAGCATATAGTTATTTTATTCTTTTGAGTGAGTCCACAGGTAGTCTATAATATGAAGATGCTGTTAAGGAAAAAGGGATTAGTTACCTCTGAGCATAACTGAGTGGAACCTTGACAAGGTATTGTGTGGTGAGGCTGCAAAGTGTTGTGGTAGCCAGTTTAGTTACTTATGCTTTTTTTAGGGAGTATATTATCTGTATGCCCTGGAGATTAGGTTATCTGCTGCATGGGTTTTTTTCTGGCATTGAAGAAGGTTTTTCTGTTCTAAAAATGTTATTTGTGGATTAAACCCTTTGGTTTGTGACTTAATTATCATTTCTTGCAAATTTACCTCAAGAGTATGGATGGTTTTGCGCCTCAGAGGCTTATGCAGGGGGTTCAGGTTATGAAATTTTGGGTAGCAGTGCTGGATGCAGATATTACCCATTTTTATACCTCCTGTAACTCCATCTACACTTAGTGATAAGTGAACTTTTTAGCTGACATTTAAGGTCAACTGTCAAGACTGCCTCTTGCAGTTTCCATTGTGAGAAGGGAAACGCATGGAACAGATGAAGAGGGTTGAAGAGAAAAGTTTGTTAGTAAAGCACACTTGCACATAGTCATATTAAATCAAGATGCAGTTCAAGTATACACATAGATAGTTAGTATGGAATAGCTAATGAACTTTAAATTGACACCTGCTTTCTATGTATTAACTTTCTGATGTACCTGGTTGCTCGGATTTTATTTGTACTGCACCTGCATTTACTGCTGCCTGGAACATATTGCACTAAGGCAAGTTTGCAATAGCTGTCCAGAGCTTGATCGCTGGTTTTGCTGTCCCTCTGGTGACTCTTCAGGACTGAGACCACAGCAGGATTCAGGTCTCAAACATTAGTCATGAATGGTATGTCAAAAAAATGGAGGATGCAGGAGATACGGTAGTGCTCCAGTTTTAACTACGAGTGCTGTAGCTTTTAAATGACTGCATTAAAGTGACAGAAACCTGTGTGTGGAGTGATTGTGTAATGTCTCATAATAGCATTTTGCTTCATAATAGCATTTCAAATGCTTACATCTTTCCTAACCCCACTTTAATTTTCTGCTTAATAAACACAGTCAGTATGGTTTTGTTTGTTCAGAAGTGCCAGATGTAGATTTTTGGCAAAATTCACCCTGTAGGAGAGAAACTGTTATTTAAATTATTTTGCGCTTTACATAGTGTTAATTCTCACTTGTGCTCATATAAATAACACATATTTATAGCATTTTTATGCAGAATTTATTCCCAATATTATACTTCAAATTGTTGTAAATCTAGGAAGGGCCTAAACCAAATACAAATACAACAGTGTGCACTTCTGTACACTCTCAAGTTGGATGCTTCAATGTTGTATAAGCCTATGTTTGTGCATCCCTAGGAATTCAGTATTGGACCAACATAACATTTTATGTGTTCCAAATAAGTCCTCATATCTAACTGTAGTCTCACAGAATTCAGTGTACATAAAAAAATTAGAAATTAATTTGTTGGAATAATAATTTTAATAAATATATTTCTATCTGTTCACATTTTTTTTAATGCATGCAAAACCATTATTTCAAAGTAGAATATTGTTAGTTTCTACGTGTTCATATGGAGTAGAAAGATGCAATTCATGGTACAGAATATAATTTTGTTCAATACCTAATGTTTCTCCTGAATAAATAGTTGTGGCTTGATTTAATGTCTCTGTTTTCAGTCCAGTGAGCTCTTTGTGTATTGAAGTATTTGCTGGGCTGGAGCGTAGTGCTCCATATTGGATCTTCATGCATATGCTTTTAAACATACATAAATCCTTCCTGGATTATACAATATGATATCTCAAAATCAGAATATTTCCAATTTACTTCAGTTATCAGCTGTATTTAATCAATGCAGCTCTAGTTAAAGTTTAAAATTCATGTTGAAAATGAGACATGATGTGTCTGTGGTCTTGTCAACTGCCAGGATTCCTTAATGGAATTGGTGGCTTATCAGCCAGAATAATTCTGTCCCATAACTGTAGAGATTCTAAGATGCTCTAATGTATCTAAAGTGTTAAAACACAATTTTAATGAACTGCTTTTGCCCTCTATTTTGAACATACTAACTGTATTCCTCTTCTTATTTGCATGGGGCACAAGGTATTAGTTTTTGCTTCTGAAGCTGTTTAGTATCTGTCCCTTCTGTAACCAGAGCTGCTCATTCACTGTCAAGGTGAGCTTCCTGCCTCTCGTTAGAACCCACTACTCATGTATAAATTTTTATACCAGCCTGGAAGGTGTTCCTAGAAGCGTTGATGCGGCTGCTTCATGATTGCTCCTCAAAGCTTTCCAAAAGCTGAAGTTCTTCTGCAGGGGATCCAAACCTTGGCAGTAACCACTGGTTGGTTGATTGGGACTCCTGGCTGTTAAATGTGTTAATTTAGTTTCAGTGATTCCTAGTTGCATTTCCCTTCTTCCTCTATATTTATGGTGACATTTTTAATTTCTGATCTTGTACTTAGCTTATAAGCTTTTTGTTACTGAGACTGTTAATTATTTTTTGTTTTCACACACTGTGCTGATTTAATAACTTAGATCTGTAGGTGTTGCTGTAAAGTGTATCTGAATAGTTATTTAAATATACTCGAGAAGACCTTGAATTAGAGCCTCTTTCTGTCCTTATATAGTTGTTACTTTTTAGAGAAATATTCAAAGTTGCTTTCAGACTGGGAACTATAAAAGAGTTTAACTCTTCCTGTGCTGGCCTACTATAGCATGGCACATAGTCTGTTATAATGTGTTTAACAGCACTTCGCATGGTAAATTTTTTGGTTGCAGCAACCAAGAATAGATCAGACTGGATTCACAGTGTCAGTACTTGAATGGTGTTCATTTTAAGTGTCTGGATAACTTGGTGGCTGAAAGATACATCTGGCTCCCTGTATCTGTAATACTCTGTGTTTTATTAAAAAAAATATGAACAGAATTTAGCTTCTCAACATGTGTTCTCTTAATCTCGGCTATATTTGAAAGAATGGTTTCTCCAAAGCCTGTTACAATAGATGTTCAATGAAGCTGAACGTTCCTGACTGCTGTATTTTTTTTTTTTTTCAGATTAATCGTGCCCCAAGCTTTGGAACTGATCAAAAAATAGACTATGATGTTAAAAAAGGTGTTCTGCTAAATGCATTAAAGCTTCTCAACATACGGTAAACTTGTCCTCTTTTCTTCAGTCTGCCTCTCTTTCTGTTGCTTTGATTATTTTTTTAATTTTTAATTTTTTATTTTTTAAATTTCAACTGGACTAGGAGAAAATGAAGACCTTTTTTTCCACCTACATATTTTCAAAATGTAGGTGGTAGTTTTGCTACTGAAATTAACCCAAATGTAATATTTCTTCTTGTTCATGTGGTTGTGAAAAATGAGTGGTAACAATAATTTTCATACTTTTTTTTAAAACATACTTTTTCAAACAGGTCTCAAAGTGGTGATCTGAGTGCAGTCATAGGCATGTGGCCACACAGGAAATTTGCTTTGGTGATAGTTCCATATCCAGTCAAAAGCCATGCCCCTTTACAGGAAAGCTTCATAGTTGGGATAGGTTGGAAAAAATCCACACTTCAGGAAAATAGATACAACCATATTTGTACATTAAATTCACACCTTAAAGTGTGAAAATATAGTAGCCGTACAAGTTAATATAAAAAAAAATTCTTAATGAATGTTTCAACTCTAATTTTATATCATAAACCACCCATGACCGATTAGAAAATACAGATAATATACTTGCACTGTCGGCTGCATTGGACTGACATATCTGAATATCATCTGTGTTTCAGGACAAGTGATAAAAGGAGAAATTTAGCTCAACAGAAGGCTGAAGCTCAAAAAAGACTCTATGGTCAAGGTTCAATGAAAAAACTGTTGCCAGGTTCTTCAGAGTGGGAGAAGCAGCGCCACACACTGGAAAGGAGAAAAGAAGAACTGGTAGGAAGGAAAAAATGTGCTGTTTCTTGCCCATGGTTTATGCTCTCTTTGTTTTAATTGTCTTATTTTCTTGATTTGTAGAAGGAAAGACTTGCACAAGTACGTAAACAGATTTCCAAAGAGGAGCATGAAAACAGACACATGGGTAACTACAGGTAACTATTTTTGACTGTATTAATAGGAAATATTCAATGCATTCTGTAGGAATAATGGAACAAGTATTTGTGTACAGGATCATTTTCTGCCAAAAATGTGTAGTCATTTATAGAAAATATATACATGTACACAAGGTAGTTTTTTTTTTTTTCAGAAAGTTCTTTTTTTGATTCTGAATGTTTGCATGCACTTATGAATTTATATCCCATCAGTTATTCCTAGTGTTTGTGTAAGACATTTGCTTGAAAGGCACGATCGTTCACATTTAGTGTACCAAGAACCATAACTGTCACTATGGACCTGCTCTATAATCACATATGATGATTCTTATCTCTAGCGGGGGAAAATATAGGAGTGTGAGTATTTCCCTATAAAAAAAAAATCAAATCTGAGTATTCCACTCTAAAAAAATCAAATCTCAATGTTATCTATGAGGCTTACCGAAAGTTCAGAAACATTATTCCATCATTTTTGATTGAATGGCATTTGAAATACTGTAGTAATATTTCTGCTCTTTGATTTTGGATCTTAGTAGGCTTAAATGTAAGTATCTTCAGATTCTTTGGTTAAATGTGTTCAACAAGCTTTAACTTGTTAGTTGTAATAGGTATTGACCAGAAAACAGTAATTTTTTTATTATTATTATGTCTTGATATTTGTTTAATGAGATGTGAAAGCAAGACCTATGAATATTTGGTGAAAGGGAGTGGAGTATGGTTAGAAATTTTATCTGAGCATTATGCATTGTTCTATGGCACTTCTTCAGCAGTGGAATCAACACCATTAAAAAGCGTTGACTGCAACTAGATTAGAGCTCCTACAGGTGTTTTATGCAAACTGGTACCATCTTCAGTTTGCTGAAAACTGCCCTGAGTTCAATGGGATGATAACCATCCTTTTTTCATTGCAACAAAATCATCATGAAAATAACTTATCAAGGAGAAGACGACTGAAATGGAAGGAGAAAGGACCTTGTAAAAAAGTTCACAAAAGATCCATAAAAACAGAAAAGTCACAGAATGCCAGTAAATATACAAATGGTGCCTATGCTTTGCACAGTGCAGGCAGAATTAATTTATGGATTACTTCTTACAATACATTAAAAATTAGTCTTCCACCTTCTTAATTTCTGGCTGTGTTTCAGGCTTTCATGACAAATGGATTGGAGTGGTTTTCATTAAAGCCCGTTGTTGTTTGATGAGCGTGAATAAATCAGCAAGTCCTGCTTCTTATATTGTCATAACCTCCTTACCTGTGGTTTTAGGGAATAATGGCATAGCTGGTCTGGTCTAAGGGAAAATCAGTCACCCTGTACATGCGTGTACCAGAATTTTTTTTTCTTATAGTATCTATTTCTTCCTGTTCATTATTTTGGAGAATTTAGTATTCAAGTGCAGTCCATATTCAATCTTTAATTTACATCATGCCCATTAATTCAAAGCAATTGTTTGGATTTTCACTGTTTTGTGTCCCTTTATTGCTAATACAAATTACTTTGTGGCTCTAAATTTTACATGCAATATTTTGTTAATATTTCATGAATCATTCACACCCACATGTATCATTCACACCCACTGATATTTCAGACTACTGCAAAACTGACTTTTGGTATATCTCTGAAATGACCTTCGTGGTATTTCTTTTGATTGGCTAATTGCTGGTTTAAACATGAATGTGTTCACTGAGTTAAAATTAGATTTAGAGAGCCATGTTCAGAGTATATGTTTTATGGTATGATATTACAGAATTACTATAGATGAGATGCAATATAAGAAGAGACTGAACTTTGCTGCCTTTTTTTTGTTCTTAGTGTGTAAGTAGTTTAGCTTCTGTCTTAAGCTCAATTTTTTTCCCCCTGTTTTAGGCGAATATACCCTCCTGATGATAAGACATTACTTGAAAAGTACGAGAGTTTGTTAGCCACTGCTTTTCAGACGTTTCTTGCTGGGAGAGCAGCTTCACTTCAGCGGGAAATGAATAACCCTTTAAAAAGAATGAAGGTACTTAAGCACAAAAAGCATTGGCTTTGCAAGTTATTTATCTTGGAATTCATGACCTTGTGGATTGGTTTCACAATAATCATGTGTGATCGCTAATAAATAGCATTTGATAATGTTTCCATCATTTCATTATTATTATTCTTTGTGCAGCTTTTGGGCCAGATCCTTGAATCTGGATGAACTGGAGTGGACCCAGGGTGGAGACAGGCTAGATGGCTTTAAGCTACTTTACCATTTCCCTGATCCTCAGCCTTACCCCTGGCCAAACCAGAGGTTGGCAGAAACTGCTTTTGAGCTGGTAATTGCCTCCTTCTTCCTCCAGTAATGTCCCTAGCTTATTCATCCACTTGTATGGTCTGGAACAAGAGATACCATAAAACCAGCTCCACTAGTTTAAGGCATCCAAGAACTCTGCCTGATTGCCTACTTATGTAGTCAAAAACAGTAGGAAAATGGCTATATTTAAAATAACAGACGAACATGATTTAATTTGAAATCTGATAAATTATTTCCCATCTTTGTAGTTGACATCATCCAGCAGTTTTACAGGAGTCTTTGTTCAACCCTTTCTTCAGACTTTAATAAATGTTAAGACTTGATTTTTAGCTTTCAATTTCATGCTGATTGCAAGCAGAGATGCATGCATCAGAAGAAATACTTCTATATTCTCCTGTGGAGGGATACATAGTCTTATTTCAGGAATTAGTAATCAAAGTAATTTCAAATTCCTACTACTTGGTGCTTGAATTTTGGAAGGATAGGATATGTGCTGCTTTTGAATTAATTGTAGTGAAATTCCCATTTCTAGGAGGAGGACATTTTGGATCTTCTGGAGCAGTGTGAAATAGATGATGAAAAACTAATGGGGAAGTGCACCAGGCAGCGAGGACCTAAGGTATTTGACTTCTCGATATCAATTTTTTATTTCACTCTGTAGAGAGGTAGTCTGAGAATTTTAAGTGGGAAATTTAGTTAGCTGACTCTGGTGGAAGTTTTCTTCCTCAGACTGCCTTTTTTTTTTTTTTTTAAGTATGAAGAGAAGCATAACTACTTTTTTCCAACTAAATCCCATTAAAATTTTAACTGGATATAAGATCCTTCTTTTCCTTTCTAAGCTATTTAGAGGAACTGTTGTGCATAGGAACAACTGTTGCATAAGAGATTGCTTGATTTCAGTGTGTAAAATGATTTTTATATCCATAACCTATCTCAAAAGAATGCTTTAATCTTTAATTGATTAGTGCCACTAAGGAATTTTGAGATCATGGGATAAAAGGCACTATGGAAACTCAAAGGATTAATTATGATTATGATGTATCTGTAGCTTGCCTTCTGGCTAAAAGGATTGTACAGTATATCTTGGAGCCTGTTTCATATCCAAAATTTGCTTTTAAAGTGAATGTATATTATTTTTAGCTTAATGCTTTCTGGTTGTGTGCATAGTTCATGTAAGTTTTTGCCTTAAATAAACTGCATATCTCTGTAAGCCAGTAAAGATAAATAGTTTGGGCTTGGATAAAATAGATTTGTTTCTTATATCCTGCAAACATTTTAAGTCTAGTTTGCTTATAAGGACCTACATTTATGTTCCTGAGCTCTGATGGATTTGTTTATGAATGCATGTAAATTTTTTTACAGCATTTTATGTTTCTGATAATATGGTGTACAAATCTAGGAGTTTCTGTACAAAATGAATGCTGACAATTTTCCTGAGCTTGCAGGAGTACTTCATGTATGTGCAAGAATCCAGAGAGCTACATCTTAATGCAGGCGTGTGTACTGGAAAGAGGATCTGCGTATCCAATCTGGTATTAAGACAGATTTGCAGGAACCTCATTACAAATATGGGGATTTTGTGAGCTAGTGTTTTAACAGTGGTGGATTCATTTAAAGAAGAGGAAAAAATAATCCAGTCTGCCCTGGCAACACACTCAACTCGCATTCTTCAGGGATTCTTTTCCCTAAGGTTTTGTTTTCAGTTCTTTAACATAGGGTCACTTAATTCAAGTTCAACATCTCAGTCACATTTTTCCTTTTTCTGGAAGCCTGTCTTCTCCCAGCAGCCCTCAGAGAGCATCTATCTTTTGACTGTATGCACACAGACTTGATCTATACTATTCCTACACTGGCTGCACACAAGCCATTTCCAAGCTGGAGGGCATAAACATTTAATAGGATACTGAGCCCAAACTGAGAAGTCTCTCTTAGTTAAAGAAGAAGTTTGATCAATTTATGAGTGAGACTCTATGACATGGTCTTCTTTTATAGCAGGCATATGGATTCCATACCTTACAAGCTGCCCTACCAATATTATTTGCACTTACAGGATAAGGAAAAAAATTGCAGATGACCAAAATTCCCACCTTTTTTTTTTTTTTTTTTCATAAAACTGATGGAATCAAAAGGGAAGGCAATGAAACTAGCATATCCAAAGAGATTGTTTCTTTTCCTTGCAGTGTGCACACTTCATGCTGTACAGGATCTCTATTCCTGCATCTTTTTTAGGGTCATGATAGACTTCTCAATCATTTAAACCAGGCCTACAGTGAAGCCATGTGACTGGAGACTTCCCTGGTTGCATAATATGCTATGCACTCCCTTTGAAATACAGATGCCTATTGTGGATGGTCCTTGTATCTTGTACCGAAAGCGCATCACCTCTTTCCTGTAAGGGGTAAGGTGCATATGGCTAATAATATGCATTTGATTGGCCACCTCTTTGTAAAGGGTCTGCTGTGAGATATGTAGTATCTAAATATATATCTGTACTGGAATCTGGTGAGTGAGGTAGGCAGTAGAATTTGCTATTGCCTGCCAATCTGTCAGGTAAGAGAATAATCCAGCTGCAAAACTCATCTTGTAATCATAAAATCCTACAAATAAAGATCCATTAGTGTATAAAAAAAGTAACATATACAAGATCTGATAGACCAAACAAACCTGACGGAACAGTACTTTTCATGTCATGTTATCCAACATGAACTGTTCTTTCAGAGGGTTGTAAAGTCCTGTCCTCCCTAAAAGTCAGCGGCTGGCCTGCTGACAAAAGCTACTGTTAGGAAATTAGATGCTCTTCCTTCGGTGCACTCTCTGCCTTGGAAAAATGAACAGTCAGGACTCAGAAAACTCTACACAGAACAGCTGGAATATTTAGAGAGAGAGGTGTCTTCCTCCTCATCCTCCTCCATACATAGAAATGTATATATATATATATACACACACACACACATATATACATACATATATGTATCCAAGAGGTAGAGGGATGTGTGTGTATAAATAAGCTTTGCATGTAACAACTATTCCATATTTGCTAGGATTTTCAGTCTTATTTTTATTTGAACATGATTAGGAGCTCAGAGTAGAAAAGAAGTCAAGAATTTCCCAGAATGAAGACATTTTTGTCTTCAATTTAAATATTACTGAATTCTACTTAGACCAAGAAATACATTCTGGAAATGTTCTCTTTATTTGTAGCCTCTAGAGGGCACCGTATCCTCACACATTGTATGGTTAACTCTTGTTTATTACATTGCACCTGTTTGTGCAGGAAAAAGAACTAAGGAAATAAAATATATTTTAGAGGAAATGAGCAATTACTTTTATTTTTATTCTTCTGGTATAAAATCAGATGAGTTTAATCAAAGAAAAATCGGGTTAGCATAAGGGGAAAATCAAGGTGATTAGAATTGCTAAGCAACCAAATATCTCTTACTTTAAGAGGTCAGTTTAAACCCAGATCTAGCTATTATTTGTCATTATTGCTTTTTGTAATTTCTTTGACCTTTCTTTTTATTCTTCTTTTTTAACTGATGTGAAGCTTGGTCATGATGTTCTTATTGCTTAGTGTAGAATGTGTGAGGAACATGAATCTTGTAAGTGGGAATGAGATCTACCTTAAAGCCCCTGTGAAAATTTTGATTTAAAATGTTTACTATACCTTTTATAACTCACCAGGAATGTCTGATTAATATATCTTCATGATACACAACCTTTCATGATTAGGACAGCTATTTTTGTGAAAGCAATAAATGTAGAGGCACTTTAATTTGTCCGTTTGGCAGGTAGATAGACATCAAAATATTCTTTGTGTAATCTGAACAATTGCCAGGGCTCTCCTCAATGAAATATACTTATTCAACTTTTACTTGTCTGGTCTAACAGCTTGGCTTGCATAAACATACTGTTGCTTTTAAGTTAATGGCAGAAATCTCTTTTCTTCCTTGGCTGGATTAGAAATTTAGGTAGAATATGTTTACTTACACTACAAGTGTACCTTGGGGCTTCATTGTATTGCCCTTCCAATAAATTCTGGTGCATTACATTATACTGAGATAATAGGGCAATTTAAGTTAGTCCTGAGAGTTCTTCTGTTTCACTCTGACCCAAAATATGTTCAGAAATTGTGATATTAGTTTTTTAAAATCTGAGTTTTGATTACAGTGCATTAGGTGACTGGGAAGATCAGGCTATCACCACAGCTTCTTGTAGCTGAGAGTTACTGGAAAGAAAATGCGTAGGTAAAAAAAGTGACCATATGAGCATTCTTAGCATAACAGGTATAATGGAGGATTTAGCATTTTTCTTTTTTGCCTGTTGGTAGACAGAAGAAGAAAAATTTTCATTTGTAGTTTCTGTTCTTGCATCAGTTTGTCCCTCACTTTTTGCTGTTTGTCTCACGGTATCTTTGGTAATAGCACAAGATTAATTACCTAATGACGCTGAATCCCATGTCCATATAGGACACCAAATGCACCTAGCATAGCTTGCTATATTCTTCCAGTTTCTGCTTTCTGCAAGATGTTGATTAATCGCTTTCTCGTCCAGAAGTATACCAGACAAAGTTCCCCGATGTATTTCTTTACTTTACATTGATCATTGTTAAACTAGAGCTTCAGTTATTGCAAATATCAGTGAGGAATTGAAACTGCAAATGGCATTCTTTATCACTTGATTTATGATTTCAAACTGTAATTTAGTTATCGCCAGTAGTGTAAATCCTACTTGAAATAAAATTATTTTTTCTCCCCCTTACTTTATTATGCTGCTCTTCATGTGAGAAAGATTAGCAGTACTGTGTAGTGAAGTTAATGAAATATTTAAGCATGTATTTTAAAATTAAGGACAAACTTCCAGTCTAATTTGGGAGGGTTTAAACATGTACACATGAACCTGCTTGATTCAGGAATGTAGTGTGATAGCAAAGTGTTCTTTCGGGATTATGAAGGAGTTTACTTTTTTGGGCTTTTTTTGTTGTTGTGTGGTTTATTTTTTTTTTGTTTTGTTTTTTTGGTTTTGTTTTTGCATTAGCCCTTATGTTCGATGCCAGAAATTGCACAGCCCTCAAGAAAATTTAAGAACTACAGTAGTGATAGTAGCTGCGAGAGCGATAGCAGTGTGTCAGAATCAGGCGAAGAAACTGAAAAGGAAGATCACAATGGAAAAAAAGAGAAAAAAGTTTCATATGATCTTGAAGAAAATAAATGCAAATCTTTGGAACGATCAGGTAAGTTAAATTACCGATTTTCCAAGTAAGTCTGGCATTCACAGTGATTTATATAAAATGCTTCAGTATTTAAAATGCATCAACATTTTTAACTCAGGATTAAACACTGTTTTGCTTGTTTTGTTTTCTTTAAAATCTTCTCTAAATTAATACAAATAAATTTTAAAAACAGAGAAAAAAGGATATTCTTTTGCCAAGAATGCTAAAGAGCAAAGTACGCCTGGGCTACACTTGGAAATGGTGTGAATGTTCCTCTTTGCTCATAGGTTTGGGGTTTTTTTTTGAGAAGGTTGCCATTTTATTTCCCTGTAAAAAGTAGTTATATTAACCTTGAATTTGGTGGAATATAGAAAAAATAAAGAAATGTATAAATGATAAAGAAATGTATCTGGAGAGAGATAGAATGTAATGTATTCCAGATGAGATCTGTGCACAAGTTTTTTTGTGCAATTGTTTCATTATGATTGTCTTCTTTCTTTTTGTGATTGTTTCTCTGGCTGCAGAACATTAGTGTGAGCATGTTCTATCGAATATGGTAGATATAGCATGTTATTTCTTGTTTTAGTAGTGTATTGTCTCAAAGAATTTCTTCATGTAATTGCATAAATATAACACTGCTTCTAAAATTGTATTTTTCATAGAAGCCTCCTTTGCTTAGCAGAAGACTGAATTTGAAACCTGTATAGCTGTGCAGGAGCAGATGAGAGAGATTGGATCTGCAAATAGGGGATCCATCAACCAAATTTTTGCTCCTGCTTCCATATTCTACAGTCAAGAAGCCACACATAGTAGCCACATACTTTTTGACCTACAGGGCATATGCACTCTGTCATAAATCTGATGCATGTTATGGAGGACTGGAGTCTACCTGATTAAAGCTGGTTATGAGGAAGAAATAAATTTTCTTATGGAGTATGTACAGTTTGTATTATTAGGGGATCTGACATGGCTGCTACATATAAGTTGTCAGTCAACATACATTATAGTACAACGTGTGCACACATGTTGGTCATATATGTTGTTAGTTTCAAAGACTGAAAAATGGGTGTTAAAAGAATAAGTAATTGCATCATTATTTAATTTGTCTGCAGGTAGAATGAACTGGAAATCTTCGATTAAAAATATAAAATCTCCATCATATTCACCCCCCGCATCATCCACAGGTCCAATAAGGCGTTCTGTAAGCTGCCCTCGTTCAATATCAGTATTGACTATGCAGTCACAGGCAGCTGAGCAGCGTCCCTTTTCAGCCAAAGCATCTCTGCAACTTCAGCGTGCATCCTCAGTGAACAGGTCTCATTCTTTAAATCGCAGCCCATCTTCAGCTCGAGTCTCTCAGACACCCAGCTCGGGAGCTATGAACTCTTCGGGGGTGAGTTAACACAGCAGTTGCATTCAAAATGTGTTCCATTTCTCTAAAACTCAATAAATACATTATTAATTTTTACAGTGTCAGAAAACCTGAGGTACTATAGTCAATGCTATTTTGACAGAAACTCATGAATTTAAGATCTCTAGACCTACACATGACTTGCAGAGAATGTTAGCTGTGATGTTTCAGTGTCTCAGGTGCAGCAATACAGATGTCACATTTTTTGAGAATGGAAATCTTAGAGGTTTTGTGACTGGGAAACCTGCTCTCCTAAATAGTTTTTAAAGACAGAAAGAGCTTTTACTTCTCTTAAAAAGTTTCTCTGGTTTCTTTGGGGACTGCTGGTTCTGAAATAAAGGAAGCACCTACCTTCAAAATCTTTACAGTAACAAAAATACATCAATATTTCAAAACCAGTGTATACCCCACGCTGTATCAGAAAAAAATGTTAGTAAGACTTTGTACGGCTGTCCATTGTAGAAGAAGGTGTAATTAATTTTCAACCATTTTCAATGCCTACAGTACACCACTACAGTAGAGTTCTACTCCCAAGCCATCTTTTTTTTTTTAAAGTGAAGATAAAACTTCTATCGTTTTGAAACCTGTACCTGAGACAGACAAGCATTTAAACTTAGGTGGTCTAACTAAATAATTAGTATAATAAACAGATCAGATTAAACACTTTTAGCTGTTTAGAATTTGTGTGGTTAGTGGTAATTTCACAATGTACTTCTGAGCTGTACATTTTTTCCTTTTGTGACTAGCCTGTCATCTTCTTTGGTATCTCCTTCACAACCTAGGCATTGCTTTTGTGTTTGCATGATGGACCCCATATCTACTTATCCCTGGGCAGTGTTTGCTGGGATCAGTCCCCAATATCATTCAGTATTGTATTGAGTGCTGGTGCCAGTGTGCTTCCATTCATGGTTTGGTGCCTGTCCTGTGTGTTTCATCACCCAAAAAATTCATCTGGAGATGGGGCAAAAACATATTTACAGCCTTTCTCTATTGTGGTGAGCTTTGATTGTGAGAAATCCTTTTGTAATGCTAATGAACTTGCTTCATAGTATTTACTATCTCTAATCATCATTTTTATCCAGTAGAATTCTCATTGTCTGTTTTGCCTGTGAGGCTTTGTCTAAATGATGAAAAAGGATCCTTTTAAAATTGTGTGCTGACATCTTGTGAAATACTCCTTAACATGGTTTTCCATCTTTAAAGTCAGCAAATAGAATTGGAAAGACATTAAGATTGTGTCTTCACCACAACGTGTTAAAGGTATTTTTTATCACATTAGCTATCTCAAGTTTAAAAAGTACCCTTTTATCATCAAGATGTACTCTGAGAGTTTAATGAGACAGGGCTAATATAGATTTTTCTATTCACATTAACTCTATATCAAATACAAATTACTGAAAGATTAAAAACAGTCTCTTACCATCTGACATTAAAAATGGGCTACTCACTTAAATTAACATTAGTCAGAAACCATACTCTGTTTTTCATTGAGAAAGCTCCAGCAGAGAAATGATCTTGATATTCAGAACAATTATGTTGGGTGATAGAGCTTAGGTCATGCTTCTTAAAATAATGTGAATAAAATTACTTACAGAATGGATAAGAACTACTCATAATTTAGCACTATATTGTGAATGGAACTCTGTTCATAATTATTTTTGCAACTAAGAATAATATACTATATATTACTGCTAGAATATAATTTAAATTAATAAACTGTAACTTACTAAAGAGAAATCATTTGTGCGTGATAACGTATTAGTTTATCCTTTGGGAAAGAAAGGAGCAGCACATTGCCATTTTTTGAGGCTGCTGAGATCCAAATGTACTAAAGATATGGAAACTAAGTTTAGGATAAGTCAGTTACCATTGGGAATTATAGATGCGTTATTATAGCACTTATAAACAAAAGTGGTTTTGGAAATATTTGCTATCTTTTTATTTCAGACACGTTACTGTATATCGTGTAGCAAAATATTTTGCTGTGATTGAAAATATTATTTACTTAAGGAAAAATATCCTTAAGTAAGTATTGTAGTTCTTACAAAATACTAAAGATTTAGAAATGCCTAAAAGTTTTAAATTTCAGTCTTGAAAAAAAGTAAAATTAAGCCCGCCTAATGTTCCAAATGCAAAAATATGCAAAAGTAAAGAAAGAGGATCAGAAATAATTCTAACTATTGTCTAAGATCTAAAGAAAACCCCCAAGCCGCCCAGAGATGGTCCTCTGCACACACTGTAGGGGTTCAAGTTGATGTTGGTGTAAAAAGCACTGATATTTTAAAAAAAATCCTGGGCAATCAAAGACACGGTCCGAACCCCCACTGACCAGAGTAGGAGCAAAGTGTCCTTACTTTTTAATGCTTCCTGAAATCTTGGCACAATGACATATAATTGTCAACAGTTTCTGTTAAATTGTTGCAGTGAAGAACTGAAAGGAAGTTTTTTATGACTAATAATTTCTTTTCATTATGTTAAATTAAAATTCAAAGTCCATTATCTAAATTTCAAATTTAGATTTTAAATGGTGGGCATCATAAATATTGAATATATATTTGTTGATTTTATTTCCAAGAAACTTAGATTTGAACTGTTTTTCTTTAATTTCTTGACAAGTAATGGTAATGCATTAGTGTAGATGAGGCATATGCGCATATTAGCGATGTATTAGATATTATGTCTATAAAATTTAATAATGTATTTTATGCCACCCTATTTAGAATTTTGTCAAGGAAATATCTTTGTAATGTGATCTAATGGCAAGCCTGAAATTTTACCTCTGCTTCACATTGGTTTTTAGAGTGAGTCTTTGCTGCAACAGAAAACAAAAGAGCAAGAAGTCGCTTTGACGAAAGAGACTCTTCTCATCATCAATGACATGAGAATGAAGTTCCCAGGAAAAACAGATGAAGAATCAGAATTAATTATAGAAGATGTAAGTATCGATAAATAAGAAAGAAGAATTACAGGGTAGACACTTACTGCTTTGGCCACTAAAATGAAGGAAAGTAGAAAGCTCAATTTATGATTCATGAGCTCCTGTGGCCTTAAAACTTCCATAACTGAGGATAATTCAAAAGATTTCACAAGCTTGGAGCTTTGCATGTTTTCTGACCTTAAAAGAGTAGCACTGAAAACATTCCTATGTCTTTTTAAAATATATGAGAAACAATCAGGAAGGTTAGAAAAATTCAGTTTTTCATTGTAGAGAAAGTTCAAACTTTTAAGTAATCTAAGAAGAATGTTACAATTCATTAACAGTTTATATTTCATCTGATATTGTTAGTACAGATCCTGACATGTTTAACTTGCTCTCGAATAGGCATACTGGAGAACTGAGAATGGTATGCTGCAAGACAAACTGGAAATTTGCTGGTCATAAAGAACACCAGTCAGGCTCTTTTTGGCTTTTCTAGTCTGTCAGTTTACACTTTCTTACATCTCACATTGTTCTGAGCCTCATCCTGTTGGATCAAAGACGTATGAAACAATGCCCAATCTACAGGACAATTAAAAAGGAACACCTAATGTTCAGATGTATAATCAGAAAATGCATGGTATCTAAAGCCCTTTTAAATATCTACTGCAAAGAAATTAACATCAGCTTGGAAAAGAAAAAAAAATGAAGATAGAAGTTCTTTTTTCAATTACTAGAGATATGTAGGGATCTTGTAATTTAAATTAACACCTGAATTCTGATGTAGTAAGCACAGTCCGCAGTGTGTTAAAATTAATCTAATTCACTATCCATTTGGAAATGTCCTTTCCTTTGTGAGCTTTCAAAATGTTGATTATGTCTTTAGTGATCTGTGCGACTACATCAGAGTGGAAAGGAATTCTCCTGTAATTGTGGTTTATTTATTGTGGGTGATTCTGGAAGATAGTGTTCATAACTAGCATATTTAGTTTCTCTTCTTAGAATCAGAAATAAAAAGCTTCATTATTTTTTTTCATTCAGACATGTTGAGAGTGTGTGTGCATTTATGTACGTGTGGCAGCGTGCAGGTGTATGCACTCCACCTAGTGGTTCTTTCTCATACAACGCTGGCATGCTTATAAATGCATTTTCTTACTGCAGAATTCTTTTATAGATTTGTTTGACCTTAAGTAGTTTCTGATATAATATTTCATCACGGAAGGAAAGAAGTAGTGGTATATTAGTTGTCAGTGAGGCAGAACTTGTCATAGGTCTGCAATAGAATAGAAAGATAAAATAACAAAATTAAAATAAAAATGTATCTTCACAGCTCTAGCTATTTTGGTAGCAATTAAACATCATAAAAGGAGAGTATTGCAGTTCATATATGATCATTTATAGAAAGGATGTTTTGCACGTATATCTAATGTCCTTGATGCAGAAAAAACCTCACTGTTTAAATACAGTAGCAGTTCTGTATTATTGAATTTATTGCTGTGTTCAAGGAATCCTAGCTGAGTCAGTCAAGACAAGTTTCTACCTGCTTTGTAGTGTGTGACTTTGTAGTGTATGAATCAGGTGGAACAGAGGGTAGGATTAAACTGAGAGATTGCACGTCTTTGCAAACATTCCCTCATAAATTTGCAAATATTTTTCTATTTCTTTTAGAGAAAAATTCTTTTCACAGAGGTATTTTAGATGCTCACACTTTGTAGCATTAGGAATGTCCATGAATGAAATGCTAGATTTCAGTTGGGTTTATGTGTATTTCTTTTATCTTGTGTTTTGCAATGTCTCCAGATTATGGATAATTGGAAGTATCATAAGACAAAAGTGGCATCCTATTGGTTGGTAAAACTGGATTCTGTAAAGCAACGAAAAGTAAGTGACATATATTTTAGTTTCTGAAGATCATCTGACGTAGACACGTAGCAGTGTTTCTGCTAGTATTTAGCAGTAGCTGGGAGTGACCCGAGATGCTAGAATACTGGCTATTCATGCTAAAATATGTATTGATTCCACTGCAGGAAATGATGTTGCTCCATATTTAGATAAGCATCATTATCCTGGAATATAATTTCAAAACCAATTTCTTAAAAAATTAGTCTGCTGAAAAAAAAGCAAACAAATAAACCATTAGTGCTTCCATACCTAAATTTTAGCAAATATTCTTAGAATTGTATTGATTCAGCAGATTTGATTGATAAGGGATAAACCAGTCAGCAGTTTCTGACCAGGCATGTTAAAACTCCATTAGAGGCAGTGATATTGCTTTTGGTTATTTGAGTCTTTGACCCACAGTATTGCAACAGATCATGTTGAATAAAAAATAGACCGGCCAAGCAAAGATTATTGACATTGTTAAAGTGTTCAACTAACTGGTTTAGTCTTGCAAAAGACTAATGATGCTTGTTTATCATTCTGTCTTCACTCATCAATAGTAGGAGCTACTATTGTGCATAAGATCTAAAGAATTTTCAATCTGTTTAAAAACTGACATACTGTAGTATGTCAGTCATAGCTGTATGTCACATGTCAGTCAAAATCATCTTTCCAGTGTAATAGTTATTTTTCTTAATGTAGCAGAAATTATGTCTATTATTAATACTTTGGTGCCCCTAAAGCAGTATTTTACGTCTTTCTCTGCCTCAGTCATTGACACATTATGTGGATTAGCATTATCAGTTCCAGGCATTTAAGCTCTGTGTGTCTCAGTTTCACAATTTATTTTTATAGAGCATAAAAGAAAGTAACTTAAAATGCTGCATACAGGATAAATATTATAATTGGAAAAGGTTGGTAGATTGTTATAGAAGAATGGAAGAACGAGTTCAGATCCTGATCTCAGATTAGTTTTTATAAAATCAGCAGTATGATCCTCAGTCTTTCACACTGTATTTTATGGAATATTGCATTAAATGCTTGTATTTTCATACTGGACAGAGAAAACATGTCCATTTAATGTGAGGTCATATGATAGAGATATATTTGACTGTTCATGTTAAGTTCAGATATTAAATGTAATATGTATCCACACAGCTTTCTAAAACAAAATCAGACAACACAAACTGAAGAAGCTGGAAATGTAGGAGTCTATACTTTAACAAAATTATTTTTCAGCTATGTCAAATAGCTGCACAGATTTATTTAGCACAGTTATTTCTTGTGCCATTGACAGGAATCAGTAGAGCAACCAACTTCATTGGCTGAAAGTGTGTCATTTTTTATATCTGCAGCTGTTCTGCTGAATAGTCCTTTGCTTAAAATGATTTCTTATTTCTTTTTAATTATGGGAAACAGTGCTACAATCCCAATATACGTGCACATAGATTTTTTCTATTGTGTCCATATAGCAGTTGTAGCCTTTTGCCCAAAACCAGAGAGAGACTTAGTTGGGGCTTATAGAAATTGGTGATATGGAGGAAGAGCTCCTAGGAGGGAGGGAGAGAGATACAGATAGATGCATATATACATAGATAACAGGGCCCAAAATTCACACTGCTGCTGCGATGGAGATCTCATTTTCTCAGCAGGAATCTTTCGGACAGTTGAAACTGGTGGGGGACGTGTTGCTAGAATTGTTTTGTTTAATCTATGATGCCACAAGTGTGGAAAGAAGTCACCAGATTGGGCCCATCGTTGCAACTGAGATACAGGGTTTTCACACAAGACCGGTTAAGGTGTCTCTTTCAGCCTTTCCCCATACATCATTCCCCAAAACTATGGGAAGGAATTGCCACAGGGAGAGTGATAAATCTGCTCTTTGAGAGACTGAAGCTGTTTACTATACATTCCTCAACTGCTCTTCATAAGCTCCGTTTGGACATCTGCCTTAATATACCTGTGTCTGTCTAGGTTTTGTTTTTGTTTTTTTTTGTTATTTTCTTTGCAATGTAGTCAGAATTTTCTCCTGTAAGCATTATTTCAGAAAGCCTACAATTTATAAGAATGTTTCTGTCTTTTGACTGACAGCCATGTAAAACCAAGGGCATGTGTACTGAGTCAGGATGATACAGTTTGATATGCCTGGTCCTTACTAGCAAAAACTGCACAAACAGAAATGTGGCTTTCTTTGTTCTTCTTGTGAGGATTTCTTTTACAACTTAGGAGACTTCTAATTCCTGAAGCACTAGTGGGGCCCTTCATCTTTGCTTACACTGGAAATGATTTGCCTTTTTTTTTTTTTTTTTTTTGAACTGCTTTTAACCCCAATCCCTTCAAGCAATCAGATAGTTATTCTTAGAAGGGTAGTTTATAAAAACGGATTACCTTTGACAATGACATTGCAGCTGAGGACTGGCAAATGTGTAAGCGTTTGTTGATTTGAAAGAAGTATGTTTTATATTCCAATGGGGTGGGTAAAGGAGAAGCGAGCTCAAGGTGGAGAATATTTATGCAAGTAAGAAATCTGTCTGAAAGGTACCTCCTGCAACTTTGTGAAATACAAACCAGAAACTCAGTCCCCTTCACTATACTTACAGGGAAGTTCTAAAACATAAGAAAATACCTGGGCAATGTACTAGATTTCACAATGTTCACTCTGACAGGTATATTTTCTTAAGAATTATCCAATATGATGTAGAAAATTAAACTCCTGCTTATATTCTTAGTGTCTAATATTCTGGCATTACAGCAGAGGCACAGGAGTCATTTAGAAGCAAGTTGAGAGTAAACTGATGAAATCGATACATGCTACAATAAAATCTAGTCTCCCAAGACTTTTAGGAAAAAGAGACTTTTCTATGGGAGGAGTTGTGACTGCTTTGTGTTACATCACTTTACATAATTTCTTTAAAAGTGTTTTGATGGTTACCAGAGGGTCTGTACATCTTGTTTTGAATACTTTCTTTCATAACATCTTGTTCTGTTACACCTAGATAATTGGTTATGTTAAAGTAACTGATGTAAATTGAAGTAAACAGAAAGATGAAGGCAAACTAGGGAAATTAACTTAGGAAAATGAGGATGTTGGTTTCATGAATTTCCAGCTCTTGTGCAACGCCTTGTCTCTTTTCTTAAATGGATGATTGAGGCCATGTTTGCAAATTAGGAACGATTAACTGGAGTGTTTTTCCCTCTGGCATATTGGTAATATCAACACAGTAGAGACAGCAAGAAAGTGGGGTTTTTTTTCTGGAGTACCTGGCAATCTGCTGCTTGCTCTAAGATGCAAGGTTCAGTCCTTAGTTTTCTTCAACTCCAGGTGCTAAAGTAAAAGAAAAAGCTCTACATTGGTATTATAGTTCTTAGTTTGTGTGTTTGGACTAGTGAGAGAATCTGTATGGGGTGGAATTGTTGTTTTACACACGGAGATAAATTACTGTTAGTGTAACATTGCAAAGGCATGTATGGCTGATCCTTTACGTAATTTAGGGACTTAGTTGGTTCAAATGTGTGTATACTGTCACAGTTACTGGCTATTTGTGTGGGAAAGCCTTAATTGCGTGAGGCAGAAGGAAAAGGATGCTTGAGAAGCATTAAGACAGTAGGCTATGGCTGCTAAGGGAATGTCTGAACATCTGGATCCTTCCCACAAGCGTGGGGCAGTCCAAAAGTTGGGTTTAGCTCCTGTAGTCACTAAACAAGAGCACTGTCCCTAGGTTATAATTTACTACTCATTTTATCTCACTCTTTGGGAGGAAGAGACCACGGGTATGGTTTTAGTGTGTTAGATACCTGCATTTATCAAGATTCCCAATCAGAGGACAGCATTGTATTCACATTAGGTGCATATGTGCATGGAATTCATGTAAAATCTATGTGTGCAGACTAATACTAGGTCTTCAAAAAAGGTCTTAACATGTAAATGACATATTTCATTGAGGTTGTCATTATTAGGCATCTATAGATTTTCTGCCCATTAAGCATATCTTTTTGCTACACAGCTTCATTGTGCTATTGTAAGCATTTTGTTTATGCTTTGTTTCCTTCATCATGTCTAATCTGATTATTTACAAACACCAGTTTGTTATGCAGGACCAAAAAATTGAAGTTCCATACCACACTTCCATACTTTACTGTTTTACTAAATCCCCTTTATTTTTTGAGAGTCAGATGTTTAACAGTGTGAATCAGTTTGTCACACACATCTGAAGGTTTCCTGAGCATGTATTGTACCTTCTAAATCCTAGAATTTGCAACATCTTATTCCATATAAGTGAATACCTCCATCAGTTCACCCCCCACTTGAGTCTGACTGTTTTTTCGGAAGATGCTGTTATGTGAAAGAGCGAGTAAAGGTGTCTCCTTTACAGCAAATAATGTTGATTTAACTCACATTTTTGTTAATAGGTTACAGCACCATAGGGTTTTTTTTTTTTAGGTCAGATTTTACACTGTAGATTTTACAATGCAGTCCATATTTAACAAATCTGTTGCATTTCTATAAACATTGCTATTTTAAATATCTTACTGATTTTTTTCTTATTTACTGATTTCACTACACTGTTTCCTTCATAAAAGGTAAACTAAAATGTTTTGATCTAGGGTAACACTAAGCTTAAATAGATATTAAACCAAAAGCAGTTTGTAGCTTTTCAGGATGTTTTAGTTCTTTATAAAACAAATGGTATTTTAAAAGGGAGTGGGAAAAGAAGAAGAGGTAATCTTCAAATATGTAATGTTTGGGTTGTTAATTATGTTGCTTCTAATCTGTAATTGTGTCTATTTTGTTTCTTTTTAAACTCTTATTGTCATTTAAACAAGATAGTAATTGAACAGATTGAAAAGAATAGAAATGAACTTCTCTGTAATAAAAGTAAAATATTTTGATTTGGTTTTGCAAAATGTTTTTGACAGAAAAAGCGTATCATAAAAGTTTGCTGATGAATGCACAGAAATGAAACACAGACATCTGTGGGAATTTATAGCTATGCAGTCATCTGTGTGTGTGTGTTTGTATGTGTGTGTTCAGTGAATCAGCGAACAGTTGGTTTTAGGTTTTGCAATATGCCTTTGCTTTAATTTCCTTGGAATATCCTCTCCTAGGTTTTGGATATAGTCAAGACAAGTGTTCGTGCAGTTCTACAGCATGTCTGGAAGGCTCCAGACATTGAAAATTTACATTTATACCGTCTCTTTAACCGTGTATTTAATCGCTTACTTTGGAGCCATGGTCAAGGTCTATGGAACTGTTTCTGTAATTCAGGGTAAGCCTATTTCTCTTAGTCTTCTTCATAACTCTACAATTATCAATGCTGGCATACTTTGTTGCTCATTTTAATTCATGAGAATGCTCTAATACTTTGAACTTGTTTTATAACCATCTAAAAATATAGTATAGTTAGAAGTCTAATAATCTAGGCCAACCATTTCAGTAATGGAATCAGACATTTATTAGAATATTTACAAATATCATAATCTTAGGAAAACCCCCGAATTTTAAAAATATCTGAGGTTTAGGTTAACTCTTTCATTGGACAGTGCACAATTTTGAGGTCAGACCATTGTAAGTGGTCAATTTGCCACCAACAGAAATCATTGTCGTATCTATTTGAGCTCAAGACTTACAAGGGAAGAATTTAGTCACAAGTGCAGCTGACATCTCGTGCCAAATGCAATGTCAGTTCTGTGATTTACAAATAAGGAGTTTGAATCTCTGTACTTGATTACATTTGCTGTTTCCTACACTGGTGGGAATTTAAGTATATACGGAATAGGAAGTGGCCACACTGAGGTAAGCAGATGTTTTTGGTTTGGGTAGCAAATACAAATTTTCTATGGGGAAAAAAAATCAGGCCGTATATTGAATGCTCAGTATCCCACACTTCAAAAATCTACATTCCTGAAATTAAAGGCATTCATGTAACAATAGGTTTGGAGGATCGGATCATAGGTATAAAATAATCCCCCTCCCCACCAAATTTCTTCATAAAATAAGAATACAAATGTTTAAATATGAAATATATCACATATAAAAAGACATTTTATGTGTAAGTACACACAATGTGTAAAGAATGGGAGGGGTTTTGATTAGCTTGTATAGGTTGTTCGAAGAGATTTATTGAAAATGAACTACAGCAAATACAGTAATATGGATATTGTATGTAGAAAGGAATAGGTTCTTCATGTTTGTCATATGTAGAGAATGCATGTAATGCACTTGTTATTGTTTCGCCACAAAATGAATAACAAGAAGACGACAAGAAGAAGAGGGATCTGAGAGTATCTAATAGGTTCTCAGTTTTTTGGGCTTTTTTCTTGTCATTGGTGAAGGCTTATTGCTTGTTGCTCACTAGAAGTTTCTGCAGGTTTTTTTCACTGAGATGGGTCATGGGAACACACAGATAATGTCAGACTTGAGCTTTGGTAGAGGGAATATAGGATATAGGGAATACAGCACACTCCAGAAGTTAAAGTAGGGTGAGAAATATTCTGTGTTTCCAATCTGAAACATTTGTTCTGCATAATCCTCAGCAGCTGTGGGTCCGTTCTTCATGCCAGCAGAGGTGTGCGAAGTCTTGAGTCCAACCTCAATTTTTGTTGTCATAAAACATTATAATTACCTTCCCTTTTAATAATGCTGTTATTATTTTGAATTTTACTTTTAGTGTGCAAATCTTTTAATATGCATGAACATTTTCATTTTAGATTTTTTTTTGTCTACAAAGACTGTTTTTTGTTCAAAAACTTTGAAAAACTCTGTTGCTCACTTGGCTCAGGAGAAGAGACTTTGAGCCAGCAGAAGAGTTCAGTGAAGAGTAGAATTTCTCATCCAGCAATAATTTTATTCATGCAGAACAAGACTCAGCTGACTCAAAAGTGGAACTACATTCTTTGAAAAAGATTCAGTTCCTTGTAAGAAGAGTTGCTATGTAAAAGATTCTAAAAATACCGTAAAAGTAATATACAAAGATCCAGTATGTGAAGAGATCACTCTGCATGTAATGTACTTAACAAGTAGAATCAACAGAAGAATAGAATCCACAGAAGAAAACGGAAAGGCTGTTTGTACCTTCCTAGTACATTGTTTATTCAGTTACTATCATCCTTCTTGCCATGGGATCCACAACAGAGATCCCATGTCAGCACTTCTGAAGCAGAGAAGCCAACTTTTCGTGACTCCTCCTTCGAGTGCCTTGTGCCATTTTAAAGAACAGATTGGAATAAATATACGGCATGTGTAGAATTTGGGGAAACGTGTCAGGAAGGGGTATGCATGTGCTGATTCAGAAACAACATGAGTATATTAAAATATATTAAGGAGTATAGAATTTTGACTATTTGTAAGATCTATGTCTTGGGAGAAAAGCAGAGCTAATAGCCTTAAGGTTTTCTCTTGCTGGTTAGATCTCTGCTAAGCATATGCTATTTTAGCAGAAAGAATGACAAAGAAACAAAAGAAACCTCAGTGAAATAATGGTGATGTAAAGCTACATTTGTTTCACTGCATAATAAACAATTAAAATTAATAAGAGGAAACTGGTAGAACCAGCTGACTTCAGATGGTTATAAAAAGAATAACACATAATTGACAACGTTGCACAATGAAGCGTTAGACTTTGTTCTGGATCTGGTGAGACTCCATGATTTCTTACTAATGTGTGGAAACTAAAGTTACAGCATAACAAATTAAGCTTCCTTAGGTAACAGTACTCTGATCCCAGTTGACTGCAGTATAATGGAGTGCAAACTGAATCCGTGTAGCACATGGAGGACATTGCACAAGCACATTTACATCAAACCTCATTCAAATTCACGTATGTTTCCAAATCTCAATCTTTGTTATTAGGGTAACTGTATACCATTATGTTCATAATCAGCCATAGTTATAGCAGGCCACATATTATTCTTCACTGATAAAATCCCTCCGAACTGTAGGAAAGTGATGACAGACCTCAAAGCCCAGAACTTAAGGAATTTATCAGGAGAGTTTCTTCCCCAGGATTTTGGAGATTTATGGATTGAATTAGAATATAATTATGTGTAGCACTGTGAATCTGTTGAATGAATGTAATACTTAGACCTTCATCTTGCTGCTTTTTACCAGATATCACGTGACTTCATGAGGAAAGAATGAAGACAGTAGATTAATTTCCATGTAAAAATACATGTGGAAAGTTCCCAGACAGGAAACAATATTGAGAAAAATATATTTTAAAAATAGTAGCTCTTCAATTAGTAGAATTATTCTGTTTATGAAATAAAAGTTTTGATGCCTTATAAACAATATTTCTTTAAAAAATAATTATATGGATAGTAATTGAGTCATTTGAAAATTGTATGTGCAGTGGAAATTCGGTAGGACTGAAGAGTTTCAACCAGAACATGTAATCTAGACTGAGGAGCCAGGCTGAAAAATCGTTGAGCTATACATATACAGCTTATCTTTTAGTCATTAATGTTCATAATTCCATCCTAATAACAGCGTAATTTTGAAAATCTCACTAGGCAGAAGTAAGCTTGCTGGTTCTTTGGTGGTGTTTTAAGGACAAACTTCCTATACTGGGACTGTGAAATCTATTGCTGATCTCAGTGGACAAAACTAAATCATCCTGGATGCTGTGTTGAAACCAGATGCAGCAAATTTTCCTCACTCTATGAAATGCCGCTTTCATAAGCAAACATAAAAACCTCAAGTTTACAAACCATCTGTGCTACTGGATAATGTTTTGACTAAAAAAAGTCTTCACAGGGACCATGTTGCCTTTAAAACAGATGTAATGATCTGTAATCTGGTCAGAATTTTGCACAAACAGCAGGTGTATGCAAGGAACTATTGTCATCTTCTGTGGTAAAACATACCTGGTTTATATTGGTATGGTAGGGTGGGATTTTTTTTTTTTTTTGGTTGTTTGTTTTGGAAAGAGAAATGGCTTTTTAAGAAAACAAAAGCATGATTGTTCATATTTCAAAAAGTAATGCTTCTATAGATACGCTTTTCAAGTTGCACTTAATTGTAGAAGAGCAACCCCATATGACCAGATAGTATAATAAGTATTATTTGAATGATTAAACTGGGAAACACTTCTCATGTGATTTGGATAAGGAAGCAGAGCACATCCTAATCTCCTGTGAATTAATTTCATATTTGTTTCTTAGTATTATGTACTTAAATTAGAAGAAGAGTATCATTATGCTATGCAGGCATTTAGAAATAATTTATTACTTTTATCAATTACTTTTTAATATCACATCACATTCATATTCAGGTGGTAGCTTGTTAAAAATAATACATGTTTTTTGCTATTCCTGTTGTAAGACACATATACTATTATGTGACAGTAAATCTTTATGTGCTAAACCTAAGTAATGGCCCTATAAACGCTTTAGGGAGCAAACCAAGTGAAAAAAGGCTGTGGACATTTCACATATGAAGATTAACTTCTTAATTTGTATTTTGGACTCAGCATCTGCCAGCATTTGTGTTAAATAGTATAGACCTTTCCTGTAAATAGTCATGGTCGTGTTTTTTCTCTTGTTCCTATATTAATATGATATAAGGCAGTAAAGCTCTCAGACTGCAAATTTTGCTACAAAAAATGAAGTTGTGCCTTTTTCCATAACAGGAGCTCTTGGGAAACCATATTCAGTAAAAGCACAGAGGTGGTGACTCCTGAGCAACTCCAGTGTTGCCAACGAGTAGTACAACTTTGTAAACACTGCCTGCTGGTGGTTTATAAATATTCATCAGACTCAAGAGGATCCCCAACTGGGATTAGCACCCACTGGGATGATACGAGGTATACATTTCAATATTCTCTTCCTAAATTATAAGTACAAAGCATAATACTGGAACATGTTTCAGTCTGTGTTGCTACCACTATACTTCTCTTTAAGCCTAGTTCACTAAGTTTTTATTTAAAAAAAAAAAAAAAGGCAACCCCCCCAACATTTCTTTGATCCTGAGGTTTTAGCATTCTAATCTCTCTACCCCACTCATGAAGTGCTACTAAAGGAAGACTTGATGTACACATTTTGTGTGAAGCTACACTTATTAAAGTCTTGATTGCGTACTGCCCAAGTAGCTGCAGCAAAGGCTTTCCATAAAGTGAACTGAAAATTTCCTTTCTTGCCCTTCTTAGATCCCTCAAAGTCACTGATACCAGATTTGCATTCTTAGAGGTATCCTAACATGTTTGATACTTCTGGCTTCACATTGGCAGTGGAATGCTATAGGGGCACAGCTCCAGCCAAGGGTCAGGTAAGTGCCATCTGATTTACTGTATTGCACAGTTTTGCAAAGTTGATTTCCAAAACCTACAGATTGAAAGCTTTGTTATTTCATCTTACAGAGCACAAATATATTTTCAAACCTTGCAAAACAGCATCATATAGTAAAAAAATTATTTGGCACTTACCTGATTATCTATTGGCTGGTTTAGTTCTCCAACTGGATACAATAGGGATTGTAGTATTGTCAGTGTAGGGATTACTGAAAATGCTCCAACTGTGGGAGTCAATGATCTGCAATTTAACAGTCATAGATGGAGAATTAAATGTAAGTTTCAAATTACTTCGCTTCCAAATTCTATCCATAATGGCAATTTGAATTATTATGTATATAAGCTTACAAATGGTTTGCTTATATAAAAATTTTTACAGACATTATTTCATAGAAGGGCTTTATGAGTTAAATATTATGTGAAAAGCAAGCCTTTGATATATTATCTGTTAAACTTATTTTATGACTTAATTGCTTACTTGCTATATCTCAGACTAGTTATTTGATACACTGAACCCATTTGTTATTGTCATATGGATCTTAAGGCACTCTAATATAATTGTAAACTGACCAGAAACTGAAGTTGTTTGGTCACAGCAAAAGTAGAAATATGTTAGCCACAAAACAAATCACATTCAATATTAACATCTACTGAGCTATAGCACGAGTATGGTAAAGTCATTTGGATTAGGTAAGACTAAAAAATCTTCAACCGTGAAGTTTTTATTGCTTTTACTGTTAATACTGCAGAAAATTTTGCATCATGACCAACCACAAACTATTCAAACTGATCGGATTACTCTAATGTACTGCAGCTAACAGGCTTGCATTTGGAAACCAGTGAAAGGGATGGCCCAATAAAACTTTCTCGTCTCCAGTTTCTGTGCTTCTTTGGACCCTGAATGGAAGTTCATTCATAAATTTCACAGGCTGGAAGATTCTAAGCCCTGTGTATCCTAAATATCCTATATCCTAAATGTCTTCAGCCATGGAGTGTCACGACAACTCTAATCAATTAAAGTTACAATTTTTATATTAATCTCCACAAATGTTACATCTATACTGTGGATACAGAAATATGCTACTTAACCATTATATTCTGAATTTGTGAAATGAAAGGTAGGTATGGAAATGAATGCTTTTGCCCACTATGCCCCATAATTGTAAAATAATGAACTGTTTTTCTAGAAATGGGAAAACTTCAATACTATTTCACTTTTCATTGAGGTTTCTGTTTTTAAATTATATAAGTATCTGCACTACTAACAATAGTTTTCTTGATTCTTGGAAAATTGTGTGAAGTGCAAGAAGAGATCAGTGTATAATTTAATAAATGTACAAGAAGTAAATTTTTTCAAGGATTTATAAAATCTAATTTGAAGGGGTTTTTTTTTTCTGAGCACAAACCAATTTTTTGTTTTGTTTGTGTTTATGAAACAAATGTTTGTGAAACTAAAGCTTTAAAAGATTACAAATAGATACCTCTTTAGCTGAGAAAATTTATTTGTACAGGGTGAGAAAAAAAGATAATGAAAACTCCCACAGAGTTCTATTTTCACTTTTAAAATTTGTTCTCAATCCTATCTCCTAACTGTAAATCCACTGTATGTCATGAAGAGAATTAATAAGAGTATTAATCTAAATGGTCACTTGTTTCCTCACAAAATTAGAAGTGTAAAGAAAACAATAGGGGGAGCTCAAAAACTATACCACATTCTCTTTAAAATAATAGCAAAAATCAAACTGTGTAAGAAGTCAGGCTTTTCATATTTTGATAAATTTCCCTGTGTTACAAAATTTAAAAAAAGCCAAACCATCTACTAGTAGATCCTTACAGCTTGCTAAATAATCTTTTCTATTACATGGCATATTCTCTGGGAAGCATTAGAGCTTTTGACTATATCATCACGCAAAGGTAGGACTCAGTCTGGTGATGTAGTGAACTGTCAAGCTCACCACCAACCCATTCCAAATCAGACTTAATTTTTTATATTTAAAAAAAAAAAATGTATTGGTGATAATATTTTTATAGTAACAGCTTTACTCAGAGCTTAAACAAACCCCATGTATACACTATATTTCTCCCATTGACAGTGTGATGCTGTTTCTATCCAAGTGATTACTAGGATCAGTCTTTTATCTTATTCATCATTAATCAATAAAATTCACTAGAATGATGCAACAATTTTTAAGCAATGATTTATACAATGTGTTTTGGTAATCTGTCCTAACATTGACATCATTCATTATGAAATTCTGATTTAGTGTGGATGTTATTTTTGTACACTTACTGTACTCATCTAATGACTTCTGCAATTAACTATTAGGAAATGTTAACATGAAAAGATTTAACAATGAATAGTAGGCATATGTTAAATGATTGTTTCTAGCTTACATGAAATATGGGCTATATAGTTGCCTGAACTCAAAAGGTAAATAGTCACTGATGTGACATACTAGGTTGTAGCATCATTGTTTCTTGCTTTCCTAGATTAGTGATGTAGCATGTCTATTTTCAAAGAATTGGAGCTGGAAACCAAAGCTGAAAATCTCTAGTTTTTCCCTAATTGAATTATTTTACAAGTTAACATTTTATAAGCTCGTTAACATCAATTTGCAGGTTTTACCCAGTTAAATTGAATAAATAGTACTATAATAACAGAGCACAATGGGTTAACTATTGATTTTTGGTAGGAATATTAAACAGGATGTCTTTTTTTTTTATCCGCTTGCTTTAAACATAAAGGACTGGAAAGATGTTTGATCCTCATACATCATCTTAAAGTTTTGCTAAGAGTTTCTCTGTGCTTAGATCTGTTTCCTGAGTTAGTGCCTAATGCCCTGTAGCTTTTATAAATAGTATTTATTGTACATAATTTTTTGCATACGATGATTTAAAGGTATAGAACCTGAACAACTAATACTTTTGCTCTTGAATGTCACTTTGCCTGTAAACTCTGCTATATTTTTCATATCCTTTCTAGGTATTTATTGCCAGGACCTTCACCGTTCATCATGAAACCATCCTCATCCAGCCTTAGCTGCAGTTCATCTGGAATGCCTCGTCCTAACATTTTGTTCACACACAGATATAGTCACTTGTGAAGCAAAATAAAAGTTGCTGTTCTTTGTAAATAATGGCACTCATTTTTTTTCCAAATTAAAATTTGTGATGGAGCTAAATATAAGCACTGTTATATATTTACTACCATATTATGATAACATTTAGCTGAAAACCTACTGTAAAAGCATAGCTTTTCTGGAAACATAATAAACCTTGTTAAGTTGTTTACACACACAGGTGAATGTGTAGATCTTGCTAGGTTTATAAGTAATTCCTTCTTACTAGAAATGTTATTTTTGCTGCAGAATATGTAAAATGGAATTGATCTTGAAGATCTTATTACAGTGTTACATTATTTTGTAAGTACAATACTTTGAATATTATTTATTGTAAAGTATACTATTTATTGTCTGAAATGTAATTGATCCTTTAACAAGGCAGATGATTTAAAAAACTGTAGTAGAACAGTAAAACTGTAACAGTCATTGAAAATAATCTGATCATTTCTTGGACATGTTTAAAATAATCCCCAAAACTCTTTAAGCCAAGCCAAGCCTAGAGCAGACATCTCCTCTGAAATTGAAAGATCTTTAATGCTGCTATTTCTCTTGGAGGACATGGTATAGTATCTTTTAGCCAAAGTGAAGGCATGTGGTACACAAACAGTAAAAACATCAGTTTAGGCATTCCATTTCTAATTGGATTCTTGTAATAAAATGGAAGCCGATGTTTGTCACGAGATTTTCATTCATGTTACCTATGGCCTGTGCCTTTAGGTTTCCTTTGGGAGCAAGCAGTCATCTCCAACTCGCACAAGCATACAAAGTGCATAGTTTTTCTGTTTTACTGCACAAGTGGTAAAGCAGACATTTTTAGGAAATACTGCAGCTACAATGTATTATTTCAACCTTAAACTAATTGGTTCATTGTAGTTTTTAGCATACAATCTAGCACCTACTGTAGAATGTATCCTTGCAATGGACAGTATTTTCTAGACTGCTGACACCTTTAAATGTTGGAAATTTAATTAATCAGAAAGCTCTCATTCAGATTCAGCTTCCTGGGCCTGGCTGAACAACACAAAAAGGAAACAAGCCAGAGCAGAAACCTGGAATTAACCTGAAAACATCATTCAGGCTTTGCAACCCATTCATCCCACTCAGCATTTTGCCATGTGAGCCTTATTCATTATAGAAACAATTATTAAAATTAAAATCAGTTAATCTAGATTTAAAAATGAAGTAAGTTTTTTAACTGAGTAAAGGACAGAGTAGTTATTATTTACCAAAGACTTGTTTACTTACCCGTCATGTAACCAGGAAAAGTGTTTGTAAATTACCAGTATATTTCAGGTATACTTAAAAAAATAATCTGAGGGCTAATTATCCTCAGGAGCAAGTATGTTAGAGGTTTTTGATATCCAGAGATTTAAGAAAAATTTAAGAGATGTAAGAAATTTGAGAATGAAGTTGTCTGGAAATTATTTTTTTTTTTTTTAATTTTAGTCATAGTATATATAAAGCTGGGAATTTTGGTGAGATTTTTTTGATGCCTGTGCTGTAGTGCCTCAGCTCTAGAACTGCAGGATATATGATAACGAGACTATTTGTAAAAAATTGAAAAAACTTCTTGAGATTAGCCAGATATAAGCTGTCTTCTGGTCTGGTAAAGTCTTTTTCATTTTTGTGGTAATACTAGTTCAGTAATATAGTATATTCACATTAATTGTATACCTCTTTTGATCCACACAGCAACTACTGATAAAGCATACTACGGTTATCTGTAAGACCTAATAAAAGCTGTAAATTCTCTCTACCTGGGGGAGGCTTCCATTGCATTCTGCTTTTGGCCATAAGGTTAACACCAGCTTCCAGCTTAGCTTGCCAGAGTTTAGGATAAGTACGTTCACATGCCTTTTTTTTTTTTTCTTACCCTTTCCTTCTTCTTTTAACTACGTTATGATCTCTGTTCTCAGAAGCCAGTGCTGGGACAGGTCAATCTGTATAGAATACTCCGCCAGCAAAACGAGGGCTGCTAACTGTACCTATGTGGTGTGGACAGATCTAGGAGAAAAATACATTTAGCATGTACAAAAGTGGACCAGATAGTTGGTTTACATCTGAAGCTACTTAATATATTCATATTTCTGATAACCTTTCCTAAAGTGCTACTGTATTCCTAATAATGTGTGAATCAATACTTTCAATAAACGTGATGCTGCACTTTCCTGCCAGCTCCTCTGAACGGGTGCATATGGTCGATGGGTGAATTATGGGCTGTAGGTACAGCCCTGCAGGTGGAAGCATTTACTCCTTTTTCAAATGTATTTCCAAGCTGTACGAGAGCCGTAATTAGAAGGAAAAGAACACAGACAAAATTTTTACCATAGGCTGATCTTTACCCATTTAAGATATGACTAAAATGAGGTAATGCGTTTTGTAATGGTGCATGATCATCCCAGTAACTCAAAAAAAAATCCCCCCGGTGCAGAAATGAGGTGCTCAGTAGCTTTAATGTACAAAATGTGTGGGTTTTTTGGCTAAGAAAAGCCTCTGGGTGCATCCTGGGGAAACAGGACGGGAGCAGGGGTGCACCTGGGGAGGGAAAGGGCCCCGCCCCGGAAGCGGCCCCACCCTGGGCAGGTGCAGGGTTGGTTTCCTCACGGTGCTGGTGAGGGAAACCAAGGAGTGATTAGGTTGCCTCGCCTAGTTTTATTTATTTTATTGCATTTTACCATAGTGTTTTATTTTATTTTCAGTCTTTTTTTTTCCCCTTCTGTTGTTATTGTAGTTATTTTGTTTAGAGCGGGCCAACAGGGGTGTCCCGCCAGCCTGGCCTTGCCGAGCCTTCCTGCCGGCCGGTGGCGGCTCCGGGGCCTGTCAGCTCCGGGAGAGCCAGGAGCCCGGTGCCGAGCCCGGGCAATGCCCACCACCCCCTGGGAGGTATCTCCAGGAGCAGTCCGTGAGGAGACAGCAGCAGGTAAGGGGCAGCTGAGGAGGGTGGCAAGGCTGCGGGGGGTCTCGGGCACTGTGCTTTGCTGCCTGGAGCTGGCCTGCTGGCAACTTGCTCCTTAGGTAGCACCAAAACACAAGATGAAGGGCTGTGGGTGACCAGAATTGGTGTAAAAGATACCCCTGCCCCATGTCTGCTGTCTTGGTGTAAACTGGCGTTGATAGTGGCATATTTATGGTGAGCTGCTGTGTTGTTAGAAGGAGCCTGCTCTGGCATGACGGTTGTGGTGTGGGTGCTGCTTCACTGCTCCGTGCCCTGGTTTGAGGGCAGGCTGAGCAGCTGTAAGGCTGGGCTCAGAAATGGCAATTACAAAACCTTACTAAGACTTCACGCTTTATTTGTGGTGTGAAACAGCTCTTAGCCTGTGAAAGCATGGCCTGATGGCATCTGGTCTTTGGACTGGAGAAAAATACCTACTGAAGTCTGCAGAAGTTGTGTTCATCAGGGTTGTGATGGCTGTCAGGGCTGAGCAGAAAGGGTGCTGCTGTCCACAATGGGATGCTCCCTGGCCAAATCTGTACCTTGCCTGTGTAAACCTGTACCTTGCTATGTTCTCAATGCAGCCAGACCTCTTCTGTGCCTGAGGATGTGGAGTTTTATGCTAAAAGAAAGTGCTTCTTAGGGTTTCAGTAATGAGCTTGGGAGTCCAAAGAGCAAGGAAAATACTTTTTCAAAAGCATTGCTTTGCTGAAATAATGTTAAAGGAAACATTGCTTAAAATACCTCATAGGGATACCCATTTGGTAGACCTCAGCCTTGGGTTAATGTGCTGTCTATAAAGGAATGTCTTGTCCTTGTTATGGGAAAACTAGTCTCTAATTGTTAATTGTGTGTACAGGAAAGTAAATTAATCAGCTTTTAAAACTCCATCTGAATGGTTCCTTAGCTGGGCTAGGAGTTCTAGAATAAATTCAGTTTAAAATATAAACCCATAAGTTTACAGTTTTTGACTCTTGCTCTATATTCAAGCGGAAAAACTGAATTGCATTGACAGTTACAACATCTAATATAGGTGTTAGCAAATGTGAATATTTGCAAGTTAGCTTTGTGTGCAGTGTTAAAACAGTTAACTTGAAGCTGTTGCATTTATTCCCATTTTCAGGAGAAAATAATTTGCTGTTAAATGGTATACTTATTGAAAAATCTTTCACTCCAGCATTTGCTAAAAACATTTGTAATTTTTTCTGTATGTGGTAAAATTCCCATGCATTAGTTGTTATTCTGCATCTGTGTTCTTTGTTCTCTGCCAGCCACCTCTGTGCAGTTCCCTACATTGTTGAAATTGCTTGTTAATGTAGAAGAGTCTTTGTTGGTGTGTAAATACCTGTAGCACTTTAGGACTCTTAAGGAAATTTGGGATAATTTTACCATTTACGTATATGTAATAGGAGAAGATTCTGGGGGAGTAAGACAGATACGTTTCTATTTTTTTTTTTAATATATCCTCATTTCTCCTTTTAAAACAAAAGGCAATGTTTACTTAGTAAAGAGAACTCTTAATGCTGAACTTAGAACCGCCCTCCTTTCACCATAGATATTACTCATATTATAATACAATTAAAGCCACTGTGCATGGCCCCTAACCGCCCTCTGAACAGGCCTGCCTGCTCTTAGTGCCACAGAGCCAAGGGGAGCTTCTGCCCGGCTGAAATGCTGGCTGACACGGGTGCCCAGGATCCACTCACCACACTGTGCTGGCTCAGGTGGCCGCACAGCGGTGGGTCACCCTCTGTGCCTGCCCCTGTCAGGAGCCATCAGCTGCGTGGTGCAGAGTAGGAGAGCGTAGGGGAGTGACCCATACCTGCCTTTCCTGCTGTGCCCTCATCAAACCACTGCTCACGGCTGCTGTCACGCGGTTTTGCCGAGCATCATCGGGCAGCGTGATGCTGCAGCGGGGGCTGGCAGCATGGGTGCTTCACTCCCTGCAAAGCACTGGGTTTGAAGGCTGAGGGTGGCAGCCATGAGGTAGAGTGGAGCCCAAGTAGGCTATGAGAAGTCAACGCATCTGGTAAGAAAATGCATTATCCTGGAGTAGGTTTCACATTAAAAGTTTTCCTTTTGCCCATCTGCATGGAAACGATTTGCTTTGTTGCAGCTGAACAAAAGGCTGTTTCAATTAATGCTCTGTATGATTTTTAACAGTGGCATAATACCATCTGACCATCTATAGCATTATACCACTCAGTTGTTCCTGCCACAATTTGTGACAATCCACTGTATCTTGTAGAAGCTTCTCAGAAGACGTAGGGGACCCTATTTTCTAAATAGAAGCTTTCCATATCAAGATTTTAAAAAAGTCATGTGATATCTGTGCACTTGAGAGAAGTTTGCACTATAGGTTTCTTGACCTGACTCGGGTATCAGCAGCAGTCTGGTTGTCGTTGTGCAAGAGGAATGGGATTAATTTACTTTGTGAAGAGAAACACAGCTCTGAGTGACACACAAGTGATCTCAGCAATCCTCAGCAATGGTGCATCTGGCAGAAGAATAGTCAGAGATGAGAATTCAGTATGTGTTTCCAGGGGTGTGCACCTGCGTCCCAAGCAGCCCATGTTGCATAGGCACCTCTCCTGAGTGCCGAATGGTCTCAGTTCTCCCGGTGTTGCTTTCTGACATTGCTTGCTCTGCCAGACACTTGTGTGCCACATAGAACTGCAGGTTTCATTGGTACAAGTGTGTGTTTGCTAAAATAACTGATAAGCAACATCCCTTACAAGGCAGTAAATTAGCTAAACAACTAAACATGGCTAATGAGAATTAGGGTAAATTGTCCTGTGCAGAGATCGGTACTTTCTCTGGTACCTAATGAATTAGGGGGCATTGTGCCGTGTAGATATATTTTTAATAACTGTACATGTTGGTGTGTAGTTAGCAGTCTTGAAGATATGTCAGGCTTGGAAGAGTTGGGCTTTCTCACAGCCCAGCTACTTTTGCCACTCAGCCCTATTAGGTGATTGTGGGAGTTCTGCTGAGTAAGGCCATTGGGCACACAGCCTCTTCCCTTCCCGTGCAGGGTTACAATCACAGAATTGTTTTGGTTGGAAGAGACTGTTAAGATCACAAGTCCAACCGTTAACCTGGCACTGACAGATTACCACTAAACCATGTCCCTCAGCACCGCATCTACCCATCTTGTAAATACCTCTAGGGATGGTGACTCAACCACTCCCCTGGGCAGCCTGTTCCAATGCTTGACAACTCTTTCAGTGAAGAAATTTTTTCCTAATATCCAGTCTAAATGTCCCCTGGTGCTACTTGGGGCCATTTCCTCTTGTCCTGTTGCCTGTTACTTGGGAGAAGAGACCGACCCCCACCTCTCTACAGCCTCCTTTCAGGTACTTGTAGAGAGCCATAATGTCTCCTCTCAGCCTCCTTTTCTCCAGGCTGAACAACCCGAGTTCCCTCAGCTGCTCCTCATAAGATGTGTTCTCCAGACCCCTCACCAGCTTTGTTGCCCTTCTCTGAACATGCTCCAGTATCTCAGCATCCCTTTGTTTGTGCTGTTCAAGGGAGTGAGCTTTTTACACCATCGTGTACGATTCAAGCCATCTGATTTCTTTTATTCTGACTCAGAGAACGAATGAAGCAGTTGCATCAAAATGATGTAGTACTAGGCAAATATGCTATAGAACAGTTTAAGTTTAATGACGTTGTTGATTGCTTTGGTGTTTGATACGTTATTCAACCAGAAGCAATTGAGAACTTACTGGAATAGGGAAAAATAAGTTCCTCTGGCACTTAAAATAATTTCTACCAGCATTGGTAAGCTGGACCCGGCGGCATCTTTCCAGTCTTTAATTTACTTAATTTGTGGGATGATTTGCCAGATTAATCAGCATGATTGCCTACAGCTGTGTGGTTGGGTTATACTCAGGGTGCACTAAACTTCGCTAAGTCACATGCCAGGTGTAGAATTTGTGCATACCTTTATTTTTGACTGCAGTGGTTCTGGCTTGTGTGTTCCTCTTCTGTCACCACATCCTCTGGTTTTGTTTTAAAACACGAGCTGTGAACCAGAGACAGCACCCTAACTTCCTTCAGCCGTGACATGCCTTTTGTCATACTGAGAAGCTAAATGCTCCACAGATGTGCCACTGAGTATGACAGTAGTGGTCACAATTGGTGAATAATGGGAGCATCGGTAGCAAAAGAATTTTTTTTTGAAAAGCAGCGTACAGTGCAGTGGTTTCCTGCTGGCCAGCCTACAAGCTGTTGGTACCTTGCTTGCACAC